CTACTTGGTAAAAAGCAGGATTGTGGTTGGTTTTTTTTTGTTTTTTTGTTTTTTTGTTTTGTGTTCTGTTTATATCATAAAATCTCCCTGGGAACTTCAGTATGGGGAGATGCAGAGAAATGCTCCCTTTCTTTTTTGAAAACAGAAACCAAGCAGTGGCTCACCACAGCTGGGCCTGCTCGCCACACTCTGTTTCTCTGTTTTCCATCCCAAAAGCAGCATCTCATTAGCTTCACACCTCCCCAATCCCGCTCTGCTCAGCGAGAAAAAAAGAGAGCACAAGACAGGAGGCTGCCGCTCCAAGCTGAAGGCTGTGGGAAGCACTGACAGAGCTCGATGGGCAGAGAGAGGAGAATAAGTTCCCAAGAGCAGCCCAGGCTATGGGAGGCATCGAGACATCCGTCACCTGCCACCGCAAAGCCAAGGGCACCAGAGAAGTCCAGACAAGAAAAGCTGTCCTAGCGTCCCCTGCCTGCCACCTTCTGTTCCAACATCTGGTGGCTTCCCTCTTCCCTGCAGTCACTCCCATGCACCAGATGAACACCCAGCAGAGACATCTCGGATGGGGAAGCCAGCACGCAAGAGCTGCCTCCTCACTTTGAAGCAACATTCAGGCAACCCTTTCCCCGCCACCCCGCAGGAAGCCGGAGCAGAAGGCAGTCCTACTCGAGCACGGTCCCGCCAAGGCACTCCTCTCCCCTCCCCACACCAAAACCTCCAGCATTCGCTGGCCTCACGGAGAGGGTACACCTCATTCGGCAACACCTTCAGAGCACACGAGGCAGCTCTCTCACCTGCCTCTGAAGATCTGACTACTGCCAGAGATGGGATGCCAGGCTACACACAGATGGGACTCGGTTCTGTGTCCTGATGTGGTGAATCCTATACGGAGAAATGCCACTCCCCACCTGATGCTGGAAGAAGCTAAGAGACCCTAAGGAGGAGAGGCATATCTGCTTCCCAGGAGATAAGCCCACCATGCTTAATCCTGCTTGGATATGTGGGAGGGAAGAAAAGACAGTGACTTGGCAGGAAAGGTACATGCCAACCCCAAAATCTTAGCAGCTTGCTGTGCATGCAAAGTCAGTCAACTGTTTCCATGTTGGTGGCCCGATCCACGTTCTGGCAGAACGCGACCGGCCATTTCTGAGGGCCGCTCGGCCGGAAAAACCACTTGGAGACTCCACCTTAGCTCACAGGAGAGGTATGGGAGGGAAGGGAACTCACTCCAACACTTGGGAGGCAAGGACGGGAAGGGTTTGTAGACAGGGTTCCTCCAACATGCAACTTGCCTTTTCAGCTCAGAGATCGCTGCTTAGTCTCAGAATGCCTTTCCCTCCAGTTCAAGCAAGCCAAACACCATCCCAGACATACATACTTCGATACTACAAAATACTCTTTCCTCTAAGGACCATCTAATACCACTACAGTTTGTGCAATCACTGCATTTTTTATTCATTTTAAACTCTCTCTCTCTCTCTCTTCCTGTAGAAATTTTTTTTAAACTTTTCTTTTTTTATGCAAAACTAATCATTTCACTTTTTCCACTCCATCATAAAATCTCCTCTAAAAACACGACGACAAGAGAACAAACATGGCACAGACACAGAGAATATTTCCCTGTTTTTGCTTCTTTTCTTTTTTCCAGGGGTTATGGGGAAGGGAGAGGGATACTTTCAAATAAACTCCTCCCTCAACCCCATGCCCTTTTTAAAGGGCACGGCGGGATCTTCTTTCCCATCTCCATTAAGGAGCAAGGGCAAAAATCCAGAAGAAGGAGCATAACCCACGTGAATACGAAGGTAGGTTAGTCAGCCTCAAGTGGCTTGTCCACCTGAGGGAACTTGAGGCTGCTGCTGCATTCAAGTTAGCAAACCTCTAACTCGAAACAGCACAGGATCCTCATTTCGGATCCAGAGGTTCAGGGTTTGGTTCCCACCTGGTGACCCACCCAGGGAGAGATTTGTCACACAAGCAGTCGAGCTGTGTCTGCAAGCCGGATCATGCTCCTTTCTTCCTCCACAAAGAGGATCTCCTGCACGAGTTCCTCTGCCACAACAAGTCCCCGCATCTCCTCACCACAGGAAGAAGGTCCTCACGGAGTATCCCTACAATGACCCACTGTTTTGCTCTTCACAGACAGTCCCCTTGCTTGTCACTCTGGAGAAAGGCAAAACCCCTTCAATTAAACAATTCCTGCCCCCGGCCCCCAAAGAACACCATACAAGAGACACTAGGGAAAAGAATTTTGCCAAGCAAACACATCTTGGCCAAAACACATCAAGAGTTTCCTATTAAAGTTCCCTTTTATCTCCCACTTAAACGCTTCAAATTTTTTTTTTTTTCCAGAACCTCAACACCACGAAACAAAACACATCACCACATACGCACCAAACAGTAACTCAACAACCTAAAGTGACTGGCCAGTTTGCATCCACCCCACAAAGAAGCTCCTCTTATTTCACAGCCACAGAGTATTTCTCATTGAGACGGGGGGGGAAAAGAAAAAGAAAAAAAAAAAAAAAGAGAAGAATCTCCTCGCTGTTTCCTTAAGAGCGAGCTTTTCCCTATGCCTACAAACTGCTCATCTTTGAAGCTGCAGACAAATGGATAGGCTATGCTAAAACAAGGGATCCCCGGGTGTGCCAGGCACAGGAAAGATGCAAAAAAGAAAAAAAAAAAAAAAAGACACAAAAATACAGGCAGGTATTAATACAGACACGCACACAAGTCCAACAAGTTATAGGAAGCCTTAGCTTTGTGAATGGATCAGGGAAGTCTCTTTCTCCCTGCCCCTAGCTTCAGCTGTGAATGCAACCACATCCCCAAAGAGTCCACTAAGCTCTTTAATCAAGGAAAGAAAAAGAAAGAGGTGTGCAAAGGGTGGTGCTAACAGCACCTGGAATCCCCCTCGGACCATCTGCACGGACATCCAACCGCAACTGGTCTGAATTCGCCGTGCTCCACAGCTCTGAACGCCACCGGCTGCGAGGCAAGGCTTGTGGGGAGGGCAGCAAAGGTTTTATTACACCAACCCAGGCGCTGGAGGCAGGGAAAAGACAAGCTCTGGGCCCAGAAGCCCTAATTAAGGTCAGAAGCTGGTCTATCCCTTTACCGCCCCAACGACTCCTCTTGGGCAGACAAATATTACCTCTCTCCCACAAACCGCCTTCCTTCTACCCTCAGACCACTGCAACCACAAAATCACTACTCCACACGAGAGCACTCCTTGGAGCCGGCAGCTCCCGAGCATCCTCATGTGGAAGCACCAGAGGGGCCAATTCCACTCGTGTTCACCCACCCAGGGCAGGTTTGTAAGTAGGTGAGCCCTGGCATGGGGAATTTTTTCCACCCTTTTCACCTCTGCAGCATGTTATGTAGAAGTGACACCCCTCTGCCCTATCCCAAAAACCAGGGAGAGGGCTGAGAGGGTGAGGCTCTCCCACCAATTGATCTCTTTCCCTTGCCCCTACAGGCTGAGTCCTGTGCGAGTAGGGGGAGAAGGGAGAGCACAGGAATAGCATCTCACTGTGAAGCTTAGGACCCACACAGAAATGGCAGGCAAAAGAGCGAGCTTATTTTGGATGTGAACAAGGGTGGTCGGGGAAAGAGGGAGCTGTGAGTAACGTACAGCAAGCTGCAGTCTTGCTCGCTCCTACTTGCTAGGGGGGGGAAGAGAAGGAATTTCTAGATCAGCTCATGAGCTCTAGGGGGAGAGATCCAGTGCACATGCATATGATGTGAGAGAGACCGTTATTTCTTATTAGCACCTTTGGCTGACAGTTGTAAGGGCTGTTTCAGATGCTGAAAACACAGAGGGGAACCCTCTTCCGGGCCATCCACCACAGGGAAGGGAGAGCAGGGGAGACTGAAGGAAGCAGAAACAGCGAACCACCCGCCTTAGCAGCCCTCCCTCCCTCCAAGGGAGTGGGGGGAAGCAAAAAGGGTCGGGGGAAGCTTATGCGCAAGGCGGGAAACCAGCCTCACCCGGCTGGGGCAGCTTCACGCTGTCAGCGTTATCTTCCCCCAAGCTGAAGGATGGATGCATGGCCCACTCCCACTTCCACCACAGAAAGGCTGGGGAAGGGCATTTCATGCCCTCTCCCCCAAGCAAGTGCAAGTGATGAACACCAGGAGGAAGATCTGGGCCAGAAGCAGACTCCCCTTTTCTTCCCTTCCCCCTGCTGAGCAAGTTGGAAGATGCAGGAGGAGGGACCAGGGCACCTGAAAGCGCCCATACAACTGCCAAGGTAGCACCAATAGTCAAAGGAAAGGGGAAGCCAATATGGGGGCGTATGCTGCACGGGGCACCCCCCACCGCTCCAGCTTTGTCTCAAGCACCTTCCAGGCATGACGCTTCACCTGTCCCTTTCCCCCTCGCTCTGGGGGCACCTGGATGCCACGAGGACAGCACAGGAGAGGGCAGATCCAGGCTGCATGCCAAGAAGGGGCAGGATGGCAGGATCAGAGTCATGGCAATGGAGAAATGTAGGAATGGAAGAGACTGCATGCACATTGTGGGAAAAGGCCTGGGGGTTGTGGGCGAGGGCTCCAATCCTCTTCCATCTTCCCCTCAAAGGTCTGGAGCTCCTCTTCAGTTTTTGTCAAAGATGGAAGGGGAAGAAGGAGGAAGAGCACCTCCCCCACCACCCCCACAGGCACACGCTTACCCTTCCCTCATACCCAAAGGTTCCACCGCCCGTTGGACAACACCACATTCAAGGACAAACAACCACTCCCCAGCCCCACCACGACCCTCCCTGCCTCCTCCCAGTGGCAGCGACACCCAGGAACAGTAGGTGCCCCTGCTCCCCGCCACTGACACACTCCAGCCGCCAGGCAAGAGGGAGTGGGCAGGGGGAAAGGAGGAAGGGTGGCAGTGAGGGCAGAGGGACAGCCAAAGGGAGAAGGAGAGAACTAAGGACAGCCATTCGCACCACGACTTCTCGCAGGTAGAGCTCCCCCCACGCCCCTGGAGCGGGGGGGGGAAACCTGGCTGCTCACTTGCTGCCTCCTCCACCGCCGCCGCCCGCCGCCACCTTCTCAAAATCCTCCGCGTTGCAGAACTCCTTGATGGTGACGGTGAGGAGGTTGCTGGTGACATCCGTGACCACCACGTTAGAGCAAGGGGACATCTCGGGACGCCAGTCGCCGGCCTCCTGCTCCGGGTCAGACGAGGAGAGGGACAAGGAGGGTGTCTGCCCCCCACTGCACCCTCCCGGCGGAGAACGCTTGCTGGTGGCGGCTGACTCGGGTGGGATCGAGAGGTCGAGGACCTCCGACTCACGCCAGTCGGGGATGGCTGGGCTGAGGGTCTCGGGGAGCAGCTTCGGAGGGGAATCATCTGGGTCAGAGGAGGAGTGGGGGGCGGGTGATGGGCAGCCAGAGGAGCTGGAGCTGGGGGCATCATAAGGGGTGGAGCCCATAATGAGCCCACAGGAGGCTGCCTGGGAGCCTTCGGCCTCCCCTTTGCCCTCCAGAGAGGGGGCAGGCGCAGCGGACGGCTTATTGTAGAGCGAAAAGGCGCCGAACTTCATGTGGCGGATCTGGGTGCGGAGGACGCTCTCGCTGAACTTTTTGCTCTTGCCAATGACGCGGTTTCGGGACGGGATCTTGGGCCGAGCCAGGCCCCCAGCCCCGTTGGCCGGCTTCCCACCTTTGTCAATGACCTTAAGGTTGAGGATGATGCGGCTGCGCTTGGGCTCACGGGGTTTCACCTTACGGTTGATGATGCGGACGGTTTCCGAGAAAGGAGAGACAGGAGGACGGATGCCAGCCCCGCTGCCCACGCTCCCGCCGTTCTGGGGGTCCGGACGGGGCAAGGGGCGCCGGGACATGCGGTGGCATCGCCGGATGTCTTTCTTGAGCCGGTGCACCGCGGCGCTGGAGTGGAGCTTGGGAGAGGAGGTGCTAGAACCAGGCTTGACAGAAAAGTGTACATCCCCAATGTGGAGGGCCTCCGCTTGGGCCCGAGCCTGCGGTGGTGGGGAGAGAGAAAAAAAAACAGGGTCAGAGAGGCAGCCTAAGCGCAGCCAAATCTCAAATTGGGCGTTGCTCACCTCAAGACACGCGCTTATGAGCAATGCCGTGTCACATTTATACCCTCATCAACAACAAGCACACATACACACCTATGGACTAGTGCAAGGGGCACCGCCTACATCCTTTTTGGGCAGCTAATGACTCCCTAGGCCGTGCCCCTGTTGACACACCCTCCAGCCATGTTTCAGGGTTACGGCTAATGGTTTCCAAGGACCCCCTCTGTCATCATCAGCCAATGTGCACAACCCTCCCCCATCAGCCAAACAGCCAAGAGTCCTCCTAGGCACTGGGGCTGTTAGTGTGAGTTAGCATGCAAAATTAGGTACTAGTCCCATGACAGGGGACTGTATCAGGTCCTCTATGAAATGAGCAGGAGACAAGGGGGAGAAGAAAAGTAATGCATTCAATTCTCTTCCCCTCCCACAACCAAACTCATCTGCTCTGGAAAGCATGGTAGAAGGTGGTCCTGAGGAACACAGATGGAGGTGGGTGAGGGTGGTCTGACAAAGCTGTCTTAGCTAAAGACAAGAAATACAGAGATCTGAAGCTCAATTTTAACTAGAGACCACAAAGAAACGGTTTACCCTTCCTCTGCTGTGGGAGCAAGGTCCAGTGTTTAAAACCAGACACTAGGCCAGCTGGAATTCAAGTCAAGTTTAACTGCATCCCAACGAAGAGATTGCTTTGTCCTTTTGAACACCACACTTGTTTGAAAGCTACTAATGAAACAGGGCAGGAACAGCATTGGTTCAGCTGCTCAGTGCCAGCCCTCCCTGAGAGCCAGGGCAGGAGAACAAGACTTTTAAGCTCTTCTGGTGCTTGGAGATAGTGCCAAAACCTGCCCTGATTCATGCACCAAAGACAGGAACGTCCTCTGGCAGCAGGAACAGTTTTGTTGATAAGTGGAGGCAGTATGACCTGAAGACCCTGTGGACATGGAAACCCAGAGTGTATTCTTACATGACACCTTGTGAGAACACAGTTGCTTGCGGAGCTCAGCCTCCCACCTGCACCCTGCTCCTTGCCCAAAGCAACCCGCTCCTTACTGCCTCACAGCAGCGGTCACAGGCAGAAGTGACCCAGGCCTGGAGGGGACAGGCGAGCCCCCTTGATTGCCCATCTAGCGAGCAGCTTCCCCCACCTCGTGGGCACAACAAGAACTGCAGTGCTAGAAAACAGCTGCTTTTCCTCCCCAACTTTTCCATCCCCTTACCCCCTAGCACAGGCCAAGATCGGGATGGCTTCTTGCCAACTAAGAGCTTAAGCTCTCCAACACCATCTCCTTTGTCACCCTGCAGGCTGTGCCTCCTACCAGAGAAATGCCTGGGGGAAAATCCGTGCGTGTAAAGGCAGGGATCTAACAGATCTAAGCGAGGGGCCCAGGCCAGCTCTTGCACAGTAAGCTCAAAGCCCTGGCCCCACATCCCCAGAGCTTTGCTGTCACCCAGTGTGCCCCTCTTCTCCCACCGGCATCCCCATGGGAACCACAGAAGATCCTGAACGAGCAGAGAACAGAGACGTTAAGACATTTTGTTCCTCCCTGGGTAATGCTGGATGATCATGCCCTTCAGTACTACTTGTATCCTGGCTTTAAAAGGACTGCAAAGATGAGGCCTCCTTCCCCAGCTGTAGGTGAAAACGCAGACTGAAGGCTCACAGCTGAATCAGGGCCTCTAGAATTTGTATTAGCCAACTGACAAAGAAACAGGGACGGGTAACACGACTGCCAAGGCAGGCACAGCTACTCTCCACATTAACCCTGGGTGGTACAAGGCTGTTTCACGCAGCTAGAGGGAAGCATCCCCAGCACAGACAAACACCAACATGTCCTGCTGTTGCAAGAAGCATCCTAGTGTCCAGCTAGTTTCTCTTTGCTCAGCCTCGCACACTACTCCATACCCCAAAACTGTTCAGAAAATGAATAGTTAGACACAGTTCCTGTCCCAGGCATCCTACAAGCTGGAGCACAGCAACAGCACCAAGGAACTCCCTGTGCCACGTATCAACTCTCCCCATCCCTTCCCAGTGATCCACAACTTAAGAGACCCTGCAGACCCTGTCCGGAGGTCACAGCCACAGACAGATGCACATCGAGGGCTGTGCTTGCTCCCTCTCTGCTCAGGTCCCTGAAGCAGATGGCAGACACCAGGACAAGCTACAGTTTGCTTTTTGACATTACCTACCAGCACAGCCTGGATTAACAACTTTATTCTTCCTTTTCCCCTCTTCCCCATCACAGTCAGCCATTCTAGCACCGCTGGCTCTTATGCTTTGGGCTTCTCGCCAATTTACCACTGCTCAGCTGAGGGCAAAGTGCAACACAATGTCCCGTTCCAAAACGCAGGACAGGGAAGCCAGAGAAGAGGGTACAGACAGATGCACCAGTAAAAATCCTTGATCCACAGCTTCAGTGGATAGACACAGGCATCTTTCAGGGCCTCT